ACTTCCTAATTTAATGACGAATCTGTTTTGTTTTTACAGGGAGTACATCAAGGCATAATTGAAGGAGACTTTGCACTTTGTATCAGTTTATATCATGGTTATGAGCTGCTACTACAAATGGGAGTACGGTCACTATTTATCTACCTTTGTGGGATTATGGATGGATCAAAAGGTGAGATGTCTTCAGAAACATCCTTCCTTTTGTCTCCAGTCCTTCTCATTTAATTTATCACATCTGTGTGGCTAGGTTCACACAAAACAGCTTATGTAACAGATGGGTTGCCAATGTGATTGGTATTTTGTTCCACTTCACCCCCACAGGAAATGTGTTAGCACAATGTCAGAGTGTATTTGGGATAGTAAATGTGTTTTTATGGCAGCAGTTCTGAAAAGAGTAAGTCACAAACTGAACTTGGAGTAAGTGCCAGTAATATCTTTGGAGAGACAGAGAATAACCATTAAACAATTTAAACTGAGAAATTGTTTGGTCTTGTATAGCAATTCTTCCCCTTTAGCAAAATGCATGTATGCATGAGTTTTAAGCATCTGTGCCAGAAGACTACAGATCTGGTCACATCATGCTAGATATTTCTGTCTCAGATGTGCAGCATCTTCCATGCTCTCCAAGCAAAAAATAAAGTTGTTGTCTTTCTCTGTACCTCTTCTCATTTTCTCAAATGAAAATTGTGTGTACTATTCCAGATGTGGGTACGTACAGCATGAATTCATACAGTGATGCAAAGATACTTTCTGGTCTGGCCTCAGTTTATTTTCCTAATTCTATCACTGACTATTGTGAGTCTTTTGCAACTCTTCTTTTGCAGTCATTTTTAGACCTGTTGGGTTGTCATTGTTCCTTGGAAGACCTGGTTTGGTACTGATACTTTTTTTGAGGGGATAAATTTCAACATGGCAACGTCAGTCCAACTTCAAGTTTCTTTTAAATACTGAGTTTGGGAGGGGAAGGTTCCAGCTATTCAGATTAGCCCATGGTGTAGCTCTCTAGTTTCTTGTTCATTTTTGTTTATACTTCACTGTGTAACTGTGTGGTAACTTAAAAAATCTAATTTGCCTACATCATTGCTTAATTACAGTGACCCTGCTTCATCCTACATCTGAACCAAAAGCATACAGTGCTTGCTTCATATTATAGAATATATTTTTATAGTATCAATGAGCTAAAAAATTCTCATTAATTTTATGCTTTTGACATTTTTACCATTTATTACTTTTGCAAGTTCAGATTTTTTACAATTCTGATGGTGTAGTGCTGTTGTTAGGCCTAGGCACCAGAGAGCATTTCATGCATTGCCTGGTTTCTTGGATTCCTTAAAATCCCTGTCTGCTCCTGAAAGATGACTGGTGGAAAATAGTTCTAATAAGCAGGTCTTCTGTACTGGTGTCCTGCTAAGTTTGGTTTCTGGTTTGAGCAGAACAAAATTCTTTTTAACATTGACATAAAATCATTCAAGAATCTTCTGAATTTAAGCTTTTAGTGTAGGTTCTCTTCTTTTGGGTAACTGGCAGCAATTCAGTCTCACAAGATGATTTGGGTTGGAAGGGACCTTAAAGCTCATCCACTTCCAACCCCTGGCCACAAGCAGGGACACCTTCCACTACACCAGGTTGCTCCAAGCCCCGTCCAGCCTGGCCTTGAACACTGCCAGGGATGGGGCCACCACAGCTTCTCTGGGCAACCTGTGCCAGTGCCTCAGCACCCTCACTGTTTGTGGATTGTATGACTTTTCTAGTGCTAAATAGTTGATGTAACACTTTCTAGTTTACCTGGTCCTAATAGTAGAACCAGGCTTCTGTCTATACATATATTTTCATGTTTAAGTTAATGTTTTCATGTTTAAATTCGGTACTGGCATCTTCCTTGAAAAAAAATATTGGTGCCAAACTATGTTATTTTCTAAATCTAAAAATTATCTTTTAGCTCTTGAAAGGAGCTTGCTGCTTCTGAGAGCTTCTCTTTTGGATAGAAAAAAAATATATTCATTCTGGAGATTAGATACTAAATTATTTCAACTTTTTACTAAGGGTTAACCCGCACGAAGAATGAACTTGGTCGTAATGAGGACTTCATGAAGCTTTATCAGCAGCTCAGAGACATGTTTTTGGACACATCTTCAGCAAATGGAAGTATTTACAAGAATAAAACAGGTCAGTATTTCCCTTTCAGAGGCAGAATATTTACATTCCATTTAAATGAAACAGTAGGTACCTCTACATAGTTTGTTGATGAAGGTATGTATTTGCTGCGATATTCTTAGCTAATATTCTATATTCCAGGTTGTTTTCCCTAGACTTGTATCCATCCATGTATCCGTCTTCTCTTGGTGGTTTTAGCTACCTTCAAACAAGTTTACTATGTTTGAAGTTTTAAATTTGATTTAAGATGAAAGGTTAAAATAGTACTGTTTGACAATGCACCTTTTAGAGTGTGACTGTAACGCTAAAGAGTGTGACTAAAAAAGAGTAGCCACACTTTCTCAAAAACTGGGTTTAACAAATGTGCTTCATAAGTAGTTTACTATTATGTTTAGGGAATGCAATTAGAACTAGTGGCAGGAATTTGTATGTCTGACTCAGATAATTATGGGAAGAAATGAAGTTCACTAAAGCTTCATACTTGTTGCAGGTTTAGTTACATCTTTAATTGCTTTATTTCCTTTTCAGTGTTTGAAAATAAAAAAATTATCTATAGCCACCCAAAACTGAAGAAATTGGAGGAAATTGTAATAGAACACTTCAAATCCTGGAAAAGGGGATGTTCTGGTAAGTACCAACAACTCAGGGAAAAAGTATCTGAACAGCTGAACCTTGGATGAAAACAAGTAATATCCTACTGATTTATTTCCTAATTCATTCAAGTGCTTCATTATTGTTTTGTATGTTTGTATATCTTCTGTGTGGAGAAGTTCTCTTGAGAAGAACTATACCATGACATTTCCTTAAGGAAATCATTTTATAAGTTATTACTATTCATTTCATATAAACTGTTCTAACAGCTAAAACAGTGATAGTAAGCTCATTGTTAATGCTACCATGTCTCATGATTTCCATAGTCATACAATTTGTTCTGAAAACGATTGCTCAGTGTAGTGCTGCCACTACCTCCTGAAAAGTTATGATGCAGCGTATTTATAGATCTTAAGGATAAAAGCTCTGATATCCAGCCTTGTTGCCAAGCATAAGAAACTGAGGCACTGATTTGAAGTATAAAACCTTCAATTACATTTGTCTGTTTTTCATTCGTGTTCATCTTGACTGAACGGGAGAACAACACCACATACAACACCACAGCATGAGATTATGAAGCAAAGAATTCTGAATCATTCAGATGTCTGTGGTTTTAGAAAGTTTCAGCTGTTGATGAAAATTCTTTTCAGTTTCTTGTTGCAGCTGTTGCTTTTGGAATGATGACAGCAGTACCTATAAATTTGTTTTGTGAATATGTGCAAATGTGTTTAAGCCAGTTACTTTCTTCTTCCCCATCCTTCCTTCCCATTTATACTTCTTTCTGTCTTCCCTGCCTGCCTCCTAACTCCCTCCACATCTCTGTCTTGTTTCCTCTAACATCTTTCTAAGCTGTTGCCTCAAATTCTGTATTCTGTGCTAGAGTTGCTTTAACTGAGTTTCATATTTAATACTATTCCATCTTCTTTTGGTAGCATGAATTTTGCTGTCATTGAATCCCATCAGATATGTTTTTTCCTTGCAATGTTGGTCAGACATGTCTCTGAGTATTACTAACAGGTAATAAATATACAAATATTTCAATTTAATTTTTTGTGTCTGTGTGCATGAACCTGAGAAGTTAGTAGGCACAAACTGCAAATCTTTACTGTTTTAAGTACAAAATCACAGTAACTGTGCCAGAAGAAATACATCAACTTTTCTAGCATAATGGATGATCTATGGTAGCATATCGAGTCATACATTGAGCTAGGTGTGTCATGTTTTCCCCTGTCTTTCCTTCCTCCTGATCCCCATAGCCTCCTTTAACCTCATAACTAACATGCAAGGCAAGGCTATGGGGAATATAAGGCAACATTCTGACCACAGTTTTCTAGATGTATGCAGTTAAATTTAAAGCAAGTACAAACAAACAGTCCTGACATCTTTGTGTCTAAAGCAAGGCCAGAAAGCACTTTACAATTCACAGTCTGATCAGAGTTGCATGCATTCTAGTAACTAAGTTTATGCATCTTCAACCCAAATGCACCAGGCACGACAGAAATAGTGAGGCACTGTGAACTTCTCTTTTTGCTTTCTTATTCACTATGTCATAGTGTCTCTGATGATACCCTTTGAGCAAAACTTGTACTTCTGTGCCCAACCCAGGCAAAGCTATAGGTTGGCTGGAGAAGTGATTCAGAGCAACCTGCAGAGAAGGATTTGAGGATGTTGGTCAATGAGAAGCTCAGCATGAGCTGGCAGTGTGTACTAACAGCCCAGAAAGCCAACCATGTTCTTGGCTGCATCACCAGCAGCATGACCAGCAGGTCAAAGGAGGTGATCCTGCCCTTCTACTCTGCTCTCGTGAGATCCCACTTGGAGTATTGTGTACAGTTCTGGTGTCCTTAACATAAGAAGGACATGGAGCTGTTGGAGCAAACAGAGGAGGGTCATGAGGATGATAAGGGGACTAGAGCACCTCTTGAATGAAGACAGGCTAAGAGAATAGGGTCTGTTCAGCCTGGAGAAGAGAAGACTGTGTGGAGACCTCATAGCAGCCTTCCAGTATCTGAAGGGGGCCTACAAGGATACCAGAAAGGGACTCTAGGGGCTTTTCATCAGGGACTGTAGTGATAGAACAAGGGTTAATGGGTTCCAACTTAAACAGGGGATATTTAGGTTATATGTAAGGAAGAAATTCTGCCGAGTGAGGGTGGGGAGGGACTGGCACAGGTTGTCGAGAGAAGCTGTGGCTGTTCCATCCCTGGCAGTGTTCAAGGCCAGGCTAGATGGGACTTTGAACAATCTAGTCTAGTGGAAGGTGTCCCTCCCTATGGCAGGGAGCAGGGGGCTAGGTGATCTTAAGGTTCTTTCCAGCCCAAACTGTTCTATGATTCTGTGATTCTATGATTCTATCCTTACTCCCTGTAAGTTTACCTCTTGCAGGTAAACTCTAAATTTACACATACACAAGTAACTACACCCTAAATTCTGGGTTTGGACTCTGATGGAATAGAGTACAACCCATGTACTGACTTATTCCTCCTCCAGACAAGAATTTGTCACAAGTCTGTCAATAAAAACCTGAATATTTATTAAGATTCCAAACACAATCACATGTATTGTTGCTCCGTCAGAAAGCTCTGAAATAAAAGCCTAAATCATTTAGGTGAGCAGTGGAAAATACATGCAGCATTTGTATCAAAAATGCATCCAAGTGTATGGTATCTCTAGGGAAAACAAACAAAACCAAACAAACCCCCTGAACTTAACTGCTTTGTTCCAGTTACACATTGCTGAACTATTGTGAATCATGATTTACTGTGTTAATGCCTGTGTATTTTTATTTCTTTTTTAATGAATAACTACTCTGCAAAGCATTTTCCTTGAAAAGCCTGACATTTGAGATGAAAAAGGGAGTATTAATTAACCTAAGTCATTAGCCGTATCAGGAACAACAGCAGCTCTTCATTTGAAATGAAGCCTCTGAGATGAGAACGCCTGGCTGTAGTGCCAAGTTGTCTGTGCAAATTCTGAACTGGGTTTAGTCTGAACTTCCTGACCATGTAGCTGTCACCTTTGCTTTGTAAGGTGCACTTGCCAGCAATTCAGGTGAACATTCTGGCCAGCCCTTAAGAAACATTGGCTCAGCATAATGAGCTTCTGCCAGCTAATCTTCAATACCTGGATTATGTGTCAGATTGATTATGGGCTGCTAATGTCTTGAATTTTCTAAGTCTGGATTTGGATAAGGTCAAGGAGGTAACGGCAGTAGTGTAACTTTTTGCTTTTACCGTACAGGCACAAATGCTACTGAGCATTATTGCTATTCAAGTCATGAGAATGTGCTAAAAAGTAGGTATAGAATAAATGTTGTTCAGAATAAATTTAGAAGAGGAGAATAATACGAACTCATGTGAGTAAGATATATCCAGCCTGCACTTATTCTGGAATATTTAGCTTGTCAGTCTGCTCAGGATGGCAAATTATGCAGAACACATTCTATCAGTGTTGCAATTGTCTGGTTTCTAGCTAAAAATACTGAATCATATTCACCATTTCATTTCTAGGCCTTCACTGGGGACTTGTTTCTATACTTGACAGATGAACTCCCGTATGGCCTGCAGTAGAGTATCATAGAGTAATTCAGACTAGTTGGAGGGGACCTCTGGAGATCCCCATGTCTAACTTCCTTGGCTGTCAGCCTCAAGACTGAAAATTATTTTGACCAGAGGAAGCCACCTTCATAATCTACGTGTGAATTGAGGGCTCATCTTAAAAAGAAATGGGGAAAAATGGTTCGTTTTAGCTTCTCCTTTTTGAATTGTGATACTGAAAGCATTTCTGCATGTAGATATGCACAACTGAAAACTAAACCAGGATTTCTGATAGTTGGTCAGAAAGAGATATATATATGTATATACACACACACAAACTTATCTGTTACACTTAATGCTTTAACATCAAGAACTGTTGTCAAGCACCAAGTGCCTGCTCTTTATATTTCAAGGAAACAGCTTACATTCAGTCTTGAGAATGTTCATTCGTTGTCTAACCTTTCTTTCAATGAGATAGAGGTGTTTTGTGAAGAATTGTGTAAAAGAGGAGACCTTTATCCCTGGAAATCTGTTTCATTTCATCTCAGGGCTATGCCTAAGTAAGGCATGCAAGCTGTGCCAATTTCAGTAGTTCACTGTATCCTTTTTGAGATTCCCCTTTGTAAGATACTCTGGTTTGACTTTGCAGAATGCAGTAATGGGTGTGTTGTTTTAGTGTTTGGATAGGATAAACAGAAGCTGACTGCTCAAAAATGGTGTGTTGCTTGGCTTTTGTTTGTGCTCATGAAGGCGGATACCTTGTAAGTTTAAAAAAAAAAAAAAAAAAAGAAAAAAGGTTGAGTACTCAGAAGACAAAATCCGTGATGATGTAACATAAGAAACACTGTTTTGGTCAAAAGCACCTTCCTGAGAAGCTGCGTATCAATGCAATTATTTCCCCCTTTTCTTAGAAAGGGAAAAATGATCTTTGCTATTGAAGTGAGAAATACAACCAGTTGTGATGACAGATCATTCAAAAACAACAGAATATTGTATTAAGGGAAGTTTTTGCGTATTTCTGCTGTTGTGAGGATCCTAAGCTGTAGAACTAGAGAAAACTTGCTGTAGTAAATCATAGAAAGTTGATGCAGATCTCTTATATTCTGCTATGTTGTATTCTAGACTAATGGTAAGAGTGGTTTTATTCCTATGTATTGCTGACCTCAGCTGACTATGGGCAGTTAAGTAGCAGATTTAAAAGTTACATTGTAGGCTCTTTGGAAGAAGGTGTCTTAAACTTCAATACACTTGCCATCAAAGCTGAGCTTTTCAAAGTAACCTTAGAAATGGTGTCAGATATAAGACACTTTCACCATAGTTGGCATAAATTCTCCAAAATTATGTTACTGCTTTGATTCCAAAGAGGAATTGTTTGAGCAGGTGTATGTCAGAATCTTTTCTGGGGGGGTTAGTCTGAGCAATCTAAGAGGCTCCTAATTGTCAGTTTTCTCTACTGTTCCTATTTATTTATTTATTTATTTACTTTGATTATATTTTTTAATGAAATTCCTATTAAAGTCAATTTATTTGAGAAAATCAGAATGCAGTCTAGTTGGACAAAACCTTCCCAGTAAGCGAGGCGAGAGCTCTGAATGTGTAGTTTGTGGGATGACCTGTCCTTACTGTTTCATCAGTTATTATTTTAAAATTGTGCATAAAAATGCTTTTCTGGCTCTTTAAAATGAAATAGACCAAGTGATGCCTGGAAGCCCATCTGTGGATGCTGTGGGTACCAGAGTGATGATCTTCTCATCATTTCGGGACAGTGTGCAAGAAATTGCAGAAATGCTTTCACGGCTCCATCCGGTGGTTCGTGTGATGACATTTGTTGGCCACTCCACAGGCAAGAGCACAAAAGGCTTCACACAGAAGGAGCAACTTGAGGTAAAGAAAAGTTGAAACTTGTATTAGGAAATAGTGATAGAGAGTATTAATTGTGTAAATAACTACATGCATATCAATATAGATTGTATGGCAGTGACTGAACTTTAAACTGTCATTAGTAAATTCCTGTGTAGTTTAATTGCCTTCAGAGTTTCCAAAATTATACTTTCTATATTACCTTATATTAGCAACTGCTGACTTTCATATATCTGAGAATCTAGAGAAATATTCAAATACTTAGGGGATTTTTTTTTTCTTGTAGGTAAAAAAAAGTAAGCTATATCCTTAAATTTTGATCTAGAAAAGTAAAAAAAAAAAAATCACTCCAATAACCAAATAAAAATCAACCAACCAAAATATTTAATTGCAAAGTTGGGAGGATCGATTTTAGAAGGATGCCATGGTTGGAGTGAGAATAAGGTGTGCTTTTTTTTTTTCCTTTATTTTAGAACTGAAGAGTTGATATGTTGATGTTAACATCAGTGTGTGACAAATCCAGAAAGACCAAGTTTTGCAGTTTAAAAATATAAGCTAATTTTTTCAGTTTCTGTCTGCACCTAGAAATATTGCAAAGTGCGTATAAGAGGCTCTCTGGCTCACCTGCTAAATCTAATTTTAATTGTTTATTCAGGTGGTGAGACGCTTTCGTGAAGGTGGGTATAACACTCTGGTCTCTACCTGTGTTGGAGAAGAAGGCTTAGACATCGGAGAAGTTGATCTCATCATCTGCTTTGACGCTCAGAAAAGCCCAATTCGCCTCGTGCAGAGAATGGGCCGAACAGGGCGCAGGCGGCAAGGCAGGATTGTGGTCATCCTCGCCGAGGGGCGGGAGGAACGGGTGAGTGTGTAGCTTGCTTCTCACTGGGAAAACAAAGTGGCTTCTTTAGCCTGTTCCAGGAAAATCTACACTGTGCATTAAAACCCAGCAGCAATCGTGAGCACTCCTAGCAACATTTTAACTGGCCTTACAGGGAAGTAATAGTCCACGCTATTCTAAAAATGTGTGCTTTCTCAATGTGAAGAGCTTCAAGCCTTTGTTCTTAGTAACACTTATTTTGATAAAACGAAACTCAGAAAATACAGGGGGTTTGCCAAGGGTGCAGCACGACATGCGGAAGAGATAGAGATGAGCTCTGAGCATGGGAGGGCTAGAAGCGTCTCACCCTGAGCTGCTGACGACACTACGCTTTTAGACAAGTGCTTAGTGGTAGCAGACTTGCGTCTGAGGTCTGAAGAGATCAGCTTAAGTGGAAATCTACTTTTGCTAAATTCCTGAACCTCAGCTCTGAACTTGGAGTATAATTAATCGTCTCTGAGTGCAGGCTGCCCCTTGGGAAATCAGTGTACCAGTGGAAGTCTAAGCCTTGAGCTGTGAGCTGGGGAACCGATCTTCAGCTGTACCAGGCTGCTGCCCAGCGTCATCCTGCAGCCTGGCCCAGGGAAGCAGGCAGGGCAGGGTTTTTAGGCAGGAGGAGGCAAGGCAATCCCTGATGACATTGGTTTAGGGAGGGTGGTTGCAGAGGAATATGAACCTCCATCTGTATAGATTCATCATGCAATGCATCTTTAAATGCAAGGCATTTTTAGAGTGTACCTCATTGTTCTGGCTGCAAAGTAATTAATGGTCTCATGTTAATTTATGAGAATGTTTGTTTTAAATCAAACCACTTCAAGGCAATAATAAAGCTTTTGAAGAGATTTTATTGGGAAAATTTGACAAATGCAGGTCTGTAAGTTTGAGGTTGGACAAGAATTTCTGTTACAGAAGTGTTTGTTACTCTGGTCCCTGTGTTTCTGCACCTGGTTCAGCCATCCCGCATGGAAGCACACTGTGTCTCAGCCACGCACCGCTCATCATGCGATTGCACCCTGCTAATACCCTGGCTTCTCTGAGCCCTCAGTTTATGAACCTTCTACTTTGGCTGTATTCTAAGATGTGCTGCATTTGACTTGGATGTTTTAACATCATGTGACAGCTCAGTTGCTTGTGCATCAGCCTGGAAGGGAGCTGTAAGCTGCTGATTTGAACTGGTAGGAAGGGAAGGGCTCAGAGGCACAGTGACCTCACAACCTCTCAGGCTCTTCTAGGGCCCAGCTGACACTCCCTGAAAAAAAGGAAAACAAAACATACTGTCTCTGTACAGCACAGTAGCAGTTCTGTTAAATAATGCGTTGGATGATACTTTTTTTTCCCCCCTTAAAACTTTTTTGCCTGTTCTAGGACTAAAAAGACATCTATTGGAATGCCTGAGGGATGGTTCATTAGAGCTAGCTGTTAGGCTTTTCTAGTTTTAGTCGGAGGGCATCTTCTTGTGTCCGTTTTCTCTAATTCTGGTTTCCAAAGATCATCTCTCAAAAGAACATAGCTGCCATACTGTCATACTCAGAGCACTTAGGCAGACTAACTGGGCATGCTGTCCGCATTGATGACCTGTCACATAGACAAGAATATTAGGACCAGAAATACTCAGGGTGGTGTGGGGAGACACTCTTACAGAGGGGGCACCATTTTCTTCACCTAGTTTCTCCATCTTTTTCTTGGTTCTTCTGTTGTGCAATAAAAATAGAGTGTAACTGAAAGGATTGGGAGCACATATGACATTAACTAATAATCTTATGCCTTTTTTTTCCTTGACCTCCTTTCTTTGTTTCTGATGTAATCTAATTCACATCATCCCTGTATCTGATGCAGAGTGTACATTCCACCAGACAAGAGCTGCGTTTCCTTTCTCCCAGGTGGTGTGGCTACTTTTGATCTGTTTACAGAGTGTGAAAAGCTGTATGTTATTTCATACTTTGTATTGTTTGGAACTTAAAGAACAATTGCTGTTCTTTGGCACTTCCTCGCTTTTTGGTACATTTGCTTTCATTGGTTTACCTAGGCACAAAACAATGATAATTCAAGTGGAATTTGACTGAGATATTTTAGTATATAAAAAAAAAAAAAAAAATTAGTGGTATGTTTTGATGTATTCATTGTCAGATTTTCAATAAAACCTTGTTGCTTTGTTGTTTTCTTCTATGTCCTCCAGTTCCTTTCCCCTCTCTGCTTTGGTTGCCATAATGCGGAGGCATCCAGCAGGTCTCGAACTTCAAGTTCAAGAACGTAAATGACCAGTTATGCTGACCTAACTGATGATACTCACGGAAGAGGGAATATGGTTGGTTCTTGGGGCCTTGCATTGTATTTTATTTTAGTTGTGTTTAAGGAAGTGAAGAAAAATGAACAAAAAACCCCAAACAAAATCAAAACAAAACCCATCTTTATAAGGGAACATAAAGTTATGAGATACCCCACAGACGCTCGGGTGTTCTTTTACTTTTGCTCAAGTCATGCGAAAAAACAGTCACACAACATATGATTTGTCTTCTCTTTTACAGACTTACAATCAAAGCCAGTCTAACAAAAGGAGCATCGACAAAGCTATTTCAGGAAACAAAATGCTTCATTTCTACCAGCATAGCCCGCGTATGATTCCAGAAGGCATAAATCCAGAGATGCATAAAATGTTTATTACTGCTGAAAAATATGAACCAAGCAATTCAAGAATGCTTTCCAAAGAGAGAAGATCTAGTTCCCTCCAGCATAAATCTGCTCTCTTTTCCTGTGTCACTGGTAAGAGGATTATGTTGCTTTCCTAAGTACTGCGTAAGCTGCTATCTCATGTCATTATATCAAACCTGTGTGCTCACGTGAGTTTTGGTTCTCTAGCAAAAATGTCATTTGTGTCAGCTGTAGCCTTTCAACTCTGATACTGTGCTGGTTGCTGCTTCGATTCCTCATCCTTTAACATCCTCAAATCACAGTTCAGTCCTTAAATACCTGTACTTCAAATCAGACGTTTGTTTCATCTTTCTCCATTGAGCTTCTCATGGAGTCGGTGACTGAAGGTCAGAAACTCCAGCTACAAACAGAAGAGGCAAAAGTTAATGATGTTTTCTGAAGACTTCTGCTATACCTGTGTCAGGTGGTATCATTGTCACTTAAATGTTTAGTGATAATTATATACCAAATCTGGTTTTGAGCTTTAACAGTTAATGTTTTTGGTTTTGTTTTGGTTTGGTTTTGTGTTTTTTATGCAAGAAAAGTATGTCTTATACCTTTGTAAATTACAATAAAACAGAAATGCTTAAAAACTAAAGGATTTTAAGGGGAGGAAAAGGAGAAATCAAGGGTAGGATTTTTATGAATTACATACATCCTTGGAGGAAAATTAATCTAAAAAGAGAAATAGCTCTTTTGTTGATGCAGTTGCATGGCGCTGAAATGCTCAGTAAAAGGAACAAAATTACAAGATATGAGGAGAGAGCTAGGTTTTTTAAATGCTTGGAAGTCCACATGCTAGATCTCCTTGGTTAAGTGCTTTCTGTAAAGACCAATAGCAACCTCTTGGAACTCCTGAAAGCCTTGGGAAACTTTATATTTTGGTGTCTGCGTAGTTAGACTTCAGAGTTCCTGGTTTTTAAATGCTTCTGATCACAACATAGAAAGGGGATGCAAGCTAGAAAATCATGCAGAAAAAAATCAGCTTCCGCTTGGGCCTCCAAAATGGTTTGTGCTAGCTCCCATTTTGCAGGGTAGAAATGTAATGGGGAAGAATTAGTGTTGATAAATCAATCTGTCTATGCCATCCTCAGCCCAATCTCTTTGTAAGTATGCATGTGTGGAGACACAGCTGTGGCATGGTTGTGATGATGCTCCTGCCCATGCTGTTTCCTGATACATCTCTGGTGCCTTCATGCTTGTCTGGGTTTTGTGCACAACCCAGATGGAGGCCAGTGAGGAAAACCAATGACAGAACAGACAGACACAACTTGCAAGAAAACAAGCAAAGGAAAACATGGAATTAAAATAAGCCTGTCCTAGGAAACAAAAATGAGGGGCAGTAGGTGCATAAAGAAAATAATATGCTGAGCATGTTTTCTGCTGAGCATTTCCAAGGCTGTAATTACCAGGTTCCTTTCGTGTGAAAGAGGTTGGCAGCTGCCACAGCTGAAGTGCCTATTCTGTCAGCTGCCAAAGGTGAACGTGATCAACTGCCCATCTTGAAAACATGAGTTACATGAGTTCAAATCATCAAGCACCAGCTTTGTGTTGAAGTCCCCTTCATTACTGTATGAAGGAAGTGTCTGTTTCTGATTTTAATGATAATTGAGATAAATCTCAAAAAAAAAAAAGAAAAAAAAGAGAAAGGCCTCTGGTTTGTTTTTGTTTTGTTTTTTCTTCTTTTTTTTCCAGATTTTCATTTCTCCTTATTTCAGTGCCCTCATCCACATTAGAAAGTTGAAGAAGTTAGTGGTACTGAATAAGCTGTGTATGTTTGTATTTATGCTGTCTTACATTTCACTTGTTCAGCTGAGGCTCAGCTGCTCTTCAGGTTTGTCTATGAAAGAATACATCTGCACAGATACTGTAGTACCATGGGCAGAAGTATTGTAGTAACTTCAAGTGGTTTTCCTCTTTTCTAGTTAAATATTTCCTGTTTTTCTTGATTTGAATTTATTTTCTTTTAATTGTAGACTGTCCTTCCACTTCAGAACCTCTTTCATAAATTGTATCTGTTTGTCAGTACCAGAAGGACACATTATTCTTGTTCTGCCCCATCACTAACCCAGTGTGTTCTTCACTTATAGGAGCTTTTCTGCAAAGAGTACAGCTACAACAGCAAAATTCCCATTACTCGGCAGTCCTTTTACATCGTTTCTTCTAAACTGAGATTCTTTTCTGTCTTTGTTTTTCTAACGAGCTTGCTAAAATTGAGCATATTTAGTAAATGCAGTAAAATCAAAAAGCACTTGAGAAAGAATATTTTTGTGCTTAAAATGGCTTGTACTCACTGGTGGAAAAATCTGGGCAAATATCTTTGGAGACAGCTCATGGTTTTTATGGTCATCTTTTGTTATAAAATGAGAATAACAATCCCACAATATAATTGAAAAGGTGAAAGTGCTGGAAGTCTGGATAATCATTTCTAACATTATTGTAAGTTCTCTGCCAGTCTCTTTTCATTTTTGTTAGGTTTCGCCTGATGTACACCCTCAGTCCTGTCAGACTTTATGATGTGTTTCCTCATGTAAGTTGAGTAGAACAACAATGGAGAGGGTTAAAAATGTTAAAACATAGAAGTGAGAACTTGCAGAATAGTTTGCTTTAAGGTCATTTTTCTTCAGTGTGAGATCTGCTTCAGTTTCCCTCCCTGTGTAACAGCAACTAGGTTGTATAACTGAAAAAGGGTTTGAAAGTAGACTTCAGTCCCTGCTTTCGTTCTTCAGCCTTCTTTCCCTGCACTGTAAGAAATTGTTGTTTCTAGTGAAGGGAGAAGTTAAGCAACTTGTAATTTAGGCAGTAACCTGCTGTACCACATTGCTTGTCTGCTTTACCAGCCAGGGGGATTCCTTTCCTTTCCCCTCAGGGAGATCTGTTGTGCTTTCTTCATGTACAGAGTCTGTTTTCTTGACAGCCAGAAATACTTGCTTGGCTCAGAAACAGAAGCAGAAAGTCCAGAGCTTTCGAGAAATACCTGTTACTGAATTTTGCCAGCTGCTAGAGGCATTCATGCCTGTATAGTGTTACACTGTGGCTATCGTAGGATCCCCTTGTCTTTGTCAAAAGTTCTTCTCCTCTAGAGCAGGAACAGAGAACATAGAGAACTGAAGCTATCTGTTGTTCTTGGTGTTTCCTTGAACATGGCAGCAGTTCACCACTTGAGCTGTTTGGGAAAGTTCTGATACACTGTCTGTACTATCGTCTGTCCTTAAGAGCAGGAGAGAACCTAAACCAGATCTCTTTGTCTGCAAAGTTTTACTTCTACTGTCCAGCTTTTCCTATCTAAAAACTTGCTGTTTGAAAATACATAGTTGATTCCTTGGTAAGCCATCTTTTTCCTTCTTGATTGTGACAATAAGTCTTAAGTGAAGCAGCAGAAGTCACTTTGAACTGGCCCAGGGTGTTAGGTTTTGGTTACAACTGAGGACTTTTTTAGGCCTTTACTTTCTACCTTGTTCAGGCAATACTGTCCAGATTTCCAGGCTAATCCAAGATTGACATACTCTTTCTTGGTGTGTGGGTGTTGAATATAAACTGCTGGAGCAGACCTAATACTTAACTGTTCTTACAAACAATAGGAAAGGCTGGGAGATAACACTTTTCTGATAAGTGTTCTTAATTTTCATTTTCTTCATGTCTCTTTTTTTCCTCTACCAGGTCCTTGAGCAGTGTGTTAGCTATAAAGGGGTGTACCATCTCCTAGACAAAAGTTAAAATTATTTTAGTAGCAATATTGATCTTCTGGGTTTGTTTTTTTTTAGCGTTTGGTTTTGGTTTGTTTTTTAATGATGGCCTTAATAGAACTTCAGTGTTGGTTAGGTTTTTCCAGCCGTGAAAGACTTCTTTTCTGAACAGCACTTAAACCTAGTACTCTGAACCGTCAGGGTTCTGGTTTTGAGTCTCTAATAAACATTGTCATACTATCCTGTGGAGACACAGTCTCTGGCAATTGTAACTTGAGAGGATTGAAAGGTACAGGCGGATTCCTTTTATGTGGCATTAATTCAGAATAGGGAGTTGGCTTCAGATTGATCCTGTCTGCAGAGCGATTGTTAAATTAACTTCATTTTCTCCAAGCTTCATACATCTGGGCTGAATGCAGTCGCATTCTTAACATGCTCTTAACACTGATTCTTTGGATGTTCACTTGCTATTCATACTGATGGCTGTTTTGAGGGATTTGGCATTTTTTGGATAGTGGTGGTATCAAGGCTTGTTGTGAGACTGGCAAAGATGACTTCATGTCCTTGTCATCATTGGAGTGTACTTGCTCAGAGTCTTGTCTGCAGCTGCCATATGATCACTTATCTTGTTTTTATCTATACTTCTCACTTGCACTTATGAGTCTAAATGAAACTCGGGAGAATATTTTCTTCTTTCCCTGCTCCTGGGGAATTTTGGTACTACTTTTGTTTCTGTCCTAATGACTAACAAATATTTTTACCACAAGAAGTTGATGTTGCTTTCCTGTATTTAAAAAACAGCTTAAGAAAAAAAAAAAAAGCTGTTTATTCCCCAAGGTCTCTGAGACACATGTTTAGAAATTCAAGCCATGTATTCTACCTGTTTACTATACCATCTTTAGGGCCTATAGGTATTTGATATATCTATTTGTATCTGTCTTTCTAGATCTTTGCTTATATGATGCCTGCCCCCAAAACAAATTTAATAGATAGGTATTTTTTTCTTTTGACTGCTATCATAGAAAATTCTTTTTATTCTTTTTATTTTCTTAAAGCAGGTAACATTTTCCTGTTTTTATTTTTCCTCCCATAGGCCAAAAGCAAATGCACTGTCATGAGAATTGGTCTCTGTCGTCTGAGGAGTTTGAAATATGGGATAGACTTTACAGGATTAAGGAAAGTGATGGAATAAAGGAACCGATATTACCTCAAGTTCAGTTTGAAACCTTAGAAAACCTGGAAGAAATATCAGTGAGTTTAACTGAAATGTAATGTTTCCTTTGACATGAAGCTTAAAGGATACCTTAAGTAACAGACTTAACTCTGAAGCTGAAAGAGGTCTACATTAAAATGCAATTTTGAGAATTATATGTATATTTTTGAGGTGAAGAATTTAGGATTAGATGTTTGAAATGGAGTTTTGAGGTTAAACCTGTAAATAAAAAAAATACATCAAGAAGTCTTTCAGTATCCATTAAACTTTTGTTTGTGTTTCTATGAACTTTGTGCAGGATGCTGTATTCATGATGGTATTGTATCAACACTTTTTCATTCCCTTGTTTATTGAACTGTAAAAGAGTTACTGAAAGAAAACCTCAAGCTTTATAAGCTCTTTTCTGATTTAGAGAAGTGGAAATAGTTTTGCTAAACAATTTCCTGATTAAAATCTCCTAACCCATCTTAATTTCAAACTGCAGAAGCACAAAAAGGAGGCTACGCATGAACTTTCCTTATCTGAATGGATAATTTGGCAGAGTCGTCCTTTTCCTACATCTTTGGTTGGTCACTCGGATCGTTGTTACCATTTTATCAGTGTTATGGAAATGATAGAACAGATGAGACATGAACAGGTAAGGAGTTTACATCTGGCTGGCTGTAAACATGCACAAATATTTAATACACAATTAGGTTACTTAAAAAATGAATGCTCTAGTTCTGTCTAGTCAGCTGAAACAAAAAGTGGGGAAGTGTTTGTGTGGGGCTAAAAGTTAGTCACTGAGAAGTGAATAATATGTATTTAATTTTGGTTTAAAATATCTCCCACTGGTATTCTGTTATTCCTCATTTTTTCCACAGATGTTGTTTCAAAACAGTGTTTCCAAAAAACCCCACATCATTCTTTCTTTAATGGATCTAAGTATCATTTTTTTACAAAAAAAACTTAAATACAAGAACTACATATGTCAAGGAGCGAAGACACCAAGACTATTAAAACTATTCCAGAGTGTAATAGGAATTGGAAATAATTTTGTATCCTGTATCCACACCAAATGCACCCCATAAAAATATTTCAGGAATGTATTGTATGTTTGAAGGTAGTTGTGGTTTGATGCTTTTTGGTTTGTTTTCTTTGAAAGCTTTAATTAAAAACCTAATTGTTTCTAAGAGTTAAAGGATAAGAGGAGGGCAGTCAAACAAATATGGATGAAAACCATGTGAGAGAGAAGCAGATTCGCCTTTGTAGTGAAAGATACAGGCAAGAAAATGTGTGTAGATGTTGCACCCATTGACAGTGCCTGAAGACTTCAGTTGTTCACCGCTCTTTTTTTCCTCCAGTTTGTCTCTTCTATGTGCCACAAATACTGCTTTTTAGTGCGTAGAAGTTTTCTAGGTCATCAGAACCTGTTGCTAAGCTGCCAGTTTCCTGAATAACGAGACTAATCAAGGAAGAGAATAGCGACATTGTAGTTGTACTCCTCGCTAGGGAAGTGTATTAATGGAAGGTTGTAAATAAAACTTTCAGAGCTAAGATAAGCTTCTCTGCTTCATCACAGAACAATGGCATTCTTGACTTCTTTGAGAGTCTGTGTTCCCAAGCTAGGGTCAAGAACACATTGCCAGAGAGAGGGCTTTGGGGATAGTTCAGCAATGGAGAACTGAAAGAAGTCAAGAGGTAAAGAAATCATTACAAAATATAGAATTGCCCTTCTAATTGAGGATTTCCTTCCCCATCAGGCACTTGAAGTATTTGTGACTTAAGTTCCTTTTGTGAAACTGCATTAATATCAGAAGTCTGTTCAGGTTCTCAAGCACCTTTAAAGTTGTAGATGCTAAACCAAAATCTGTCACCCTTAAAATAATTTACAGAGCAAATATTTTAGTCACCAAGCAAGTCTTCAGTCTTCTCCCCCAAACTCTGCCAAAGTAAGTGCCATTAATTATAAGGAAAGCAGAATATCAAATGCTTACTTTCACAAGCAAGCATTTACAGAACTTTTACAGAGGTAGGTCTACCTACTGTCTCTCATGAGACTGAGACAGCCCAGCTCACCTACCTCTGCTCTCTACTGTGCAGCAAATAGAGAAGTTGTCACATCCCAGAACTATGGGGAGGCCCCATGGGTTTTCACACTTTGGTCATCACTTTACATTTTGCTTAGCTTTGACGGCCAACGAGCACAAGCAGGACATGTTGGTGCTGTGTTCCCTGTGTAGCTCTTCACTCAGAATTCCTGCTGATGTGCTGCGGTAGCAAGTCCTGCTGATGTGCTGCGGTAGCACACAAGCTCTCAAGCTGAGTACTGCAGAGCAGTCCTGCCTACAGTCTGCTGCAGTGCTGCAGAGAGCTGCAAACAGCAGTGCAAACTGCTGGAAGATCTGTGTCAGAAAAGAAGGGATACAACTATTAATTGATAACAAGTTGCCTTTCACTATTTCTAATTTAACAGCTATATGTCAACTTAATTGTGATACACTGTAGGTAATGTTCTCACAGTCAAAAGACTGGGACTGCCTGTTATTTCATTCCACTGTCTTCCAGCTCAGAGTTTCAGGCATTATCTGTATTGATTTCCTGCCAGCTTTCTCTGGTCTGTCTTAACTAGTCATAGGTGGAGATGCTGAACTTTTTCATCAGTTACAGAAATCATAATTGGATGTCACTGGCATACCAGAATCACCTTGTAATGACTCCACTGAATAGGAGAGGTTACAACATGAGACATCACTCCATGCTGTTGAATTCTTCCAGGGAAGAACAGCACTAGCAGTAACCTGACAAGGTTGACATGATAGAAGCTGTAATCAGCACTGAACACCCAGTTTTTAAACTTCAGTTGTTGGCTTCTTTTTTATCTAAACCAAATTGTCAAGGTGCAAGGACATCAAAGTTTCACCATAATTGTTTCACGAAAACCAAAGATGCATCTATTCTACCAGCACTGACAGGGATTTCTTGTATGCAAATATTCATATTTTCTTAAGTCATCCTTGACTCCTTTGAGTGGCACAGTCTTCCCAAGACAGGATATGTTCCCACTGAAATTCACCAAAGGGAACGAAAGTGAATGATGTATGCTATTTTTACGGTGGAATTGCCTTGGAGCAGTCACTGTGCGGTGGCAGTCCTTACTTATCATACAGATTACACCAGCAAAAACTTGTTGCCCTGCAATTTGGCAGAGCATAATCTTCCATACTGCTAATGAGAGAGCATGTGTGAGTGTGGGGAGGTGGTTTTGGTTTCCTGTTACCACCAGTCTTCTCTTAATTCAGTCTTTCTACAGCTTCAATTCTGGTGAATCAGAAAAGGCATACAGATTAAAATTAGTATAACTATAGACTGAGTCAGACCATAGAAATTTTCATTGTAAAATATCTTCTTTAAAAAAAAATAAAAATCTCTTTTCTAAGTCATTTCTGTTAGTGAATGCTGTTTGAGGGCCATCACTATTACCACAGAGCAGTTCAGTTTGGACCTGTGGAGCTATGGACCAGTCCAGGACCTATGTAGATCAAGCAGCTGCAGCCTTGACAAATCAAGCCTTTGGGATCTCCAAGGCTGGAATCCCACCACTTCTCTGGACCCCATGGTCAGCATTTGATCACCCACACGGTAGAAAAATTCTAATACCTACAGAAATTTCTCTTGCTTTGTGTTGTATGCATTAACTCTGGCCTCAGCATACCTCTGGGAAGCCTGGCTCTGCCTTCCCTCTGCTCTTAAATGAGATGAAGATGGTAATAATATCCTCTCTTCTTATGACTGAACAGAGTTCCTTTGTCTTCCTTGAACATCCTCGTGCTCCAGCCCTGTGACAGTTTTGGCTACTTCTGCTGGACTTGATCCAGTCAAGGATATTTCATAGAATCACAGAATGGTTAGGTTTGGAAAGGACCTTAAAATCATCTAGTTCTAACTCCCTACCAGGAGCAGGGATGCCCTACCCTAGACCATGTCGCCTAAGGCTCTGTCCAACCTGGCCTTGAACACTGTACTCGGAGCCCAAGCCTAGACTAAGCACTCCAGATGTGGTCTCAGAGATGATGAACCAAGGAGACTAAACCGTTCCCTTGCCCTGCTGGCAACTGTCTTACTAATGGAGCCTGGGTGTGATCATCTCCGTTGCCGCAAGGGCACACTGCTGTCTTGGTTTTTCTGTTGTGAGGTTTCTGTCTTCCTGCTTAGGACCTTCTGGACCTCAGCCCTGCCCTCAACCATGCTTCCCCTTGCCTGGTATCACCTGCAAACCTGCTGAAGGTGCACTCTGTACTATAATCAGTATAAGTAATAAAAAGGTTAAGCACTCAAAACCTCTGAGAAACACTCCTAGCAGCCAGCCACTGGCTGGACTTCATACCAGTCCTCAAACCACTTTAATCACAGAGGTCCAGCCAGCTGTCCACTTACCCAACCACATCTCATGAGTTTAGCTATGAGATTGTGCCAGAAACTTTGCTAATGTCAAGGTAAACAACATCCACTGCTCTTCTCTTGCCCACAAAGCTGGTTACATCTTCATAAAAGCCAGTCTCAAATTCTTGATCCCTATGTGTTCTGCATGCTTGCTGGGACATTCTCATGAAAGCTGGAATGTTTTCTTAATAGTTTGATTTGAAGTTTGTACTTTAAACTTAAAATAAGAAGAAATAAAACATTCATGTAGCATTCTGATTACACACTTCTAATTTTTCCCTATGATATAGTATTCCCAACATTAATGCATATAAAATAGTTCACATCAGGATCTTTCAAAAATTAAGCAAGCTTTGCCAAAACCTGATTATGCCCCATTGCCCATATCTGGACCTACGGGGAGGCATGGATGGTTTACTTTAACAGTAACTACTACACTGATTCTTTTTCATACTGTAGAGTACTTGTTCTTAGAAGAACATATTAATGAAAAATGCAAAAGTAGAGCAAAATTAAATGAACTTAGAGTTTTGTACATAACGTTTTGACTTTTACACACCTACTAAAACATGTTTATGTAGGTGGGTATGTCTCAACCGTATTCCTAAGTTTGATATAGGTGTGAGTGACTGTGAGGGTGAAGTTCCCCTGACAGAAAGATCATGGAATCACAAAATAGTTTTGATTCAAATGGATCTTAAAGCTCATCCAGTTCCAACCCCCCTGCCATGAGCAGTGACACCTTCCAGTAGACCAGGTTGCTCCAAGCCCTGTCCAGCCGGCCCTGAACACTGCCAGGGATGGGGCAGCCACAGCTTCTCTGGGCAACCTGTGCCAGCACCTCACTAACCTCACAGGGAAAAACTTCCGTATATCTAATCTAATCTCCCTTCTTTCAGTTTAAATCCATTCCCCTTTGTCCTGTCCTTACATGCCCTTGCCAAAAGTCCCTCTCCAGCTTTCTCGTTGGCCCTTTTAGGTACTGGTAGCTGCTTTAAGATCTGCGAGCCTTCTCTTCTCCAGGCTGAACAACCTCTGGTCTCAGCCTCTCTCTGTAAGAGATGTGCTCCAGCCCTCTGAGTATCTTTATGGACTCCTCTGGTCTCAGTCCAACAGGTCCACATCCAGTCTGCCTGTATTTGCAAGTGCAGGGCTGTATAACACTGGCTCTATATGATTTTTGCCACTGTCTTTTCATGAGCAGTTCAGCATAAG